GGCTAACTCTGTAGAGCGCCAGCTAGATGAAAGAGACGAAGATGATTTCATGTGACCCATCGGCTCCGAAAAGTTTGTCTGTTAATGAGGTCCCATGCACCACATATAAGTCTCGTATTTCTTGAGAGGTGCAGTAAACAGGCACGCGAAATAATCGCTGAAGATGGCATTGTGTGAACAGGCATCTACGACAGCATAGTTGCTGCAGTGAATTTTGGGGTAAGTAACTCTACCTGTTTGCCGGCCGCCCGCCTGATGGTGATATTTCGATAACCTGACTTATATCTTCCTCTCATTTCAGGACCTAAACGGCCAAATGAACGCTCCTCACGAAGCAAATGCGCCTCACAGAAGGATATATGTAAGCTTCAAAACGACCAATATATCTCAAAAGTTCAAGACGTCCATTTTGAGCCTTTTCTCCGTTGCCAATGGGTGGATTATTTAGGCATCGTGTACCCCTAGCCACATGTTAGCGGTGTGCGTCAGTTCGTTGAGCTGTCTGGTATCATCGACGTAGGCTCTATGTGGCTAGTAAGTTAGGCATCGCGTACCCCTAGCCGCGTGCTAGTGGTGTGCGTCCGTTAAGATCGATGAATCTCGAGGTTTTTCTAGCATAATTCGGAACCTATAATGAAAAACTCTCCAATTTGCCAGTCAACGTGCACGATGTCTAGCAAATAATCAGCGTGCACTACGGAATTTTTACTGGCAACAAAGAATCATCGACCAAAATTTGTTTGCACGAATACGCCAACGCATATGTTGCATCTCCAAAGGCCATTTAGATTCTAGAATGTTGAAGAAATCTGTTCCGGTGGAAAAATACCTGAAAATTACGTTCAGTGTACGTGAGTCAAACTTTTCCACAATTCGCGATTTTTTAACATAAGGTAAGGTATTCAAAGTCGGCGGTGTTTATACACCTGGAGATTTACTTCACTTAAAAAAATCGCCATAATAAAGGATTTTCTATAATACACGAGCATATACATTATACATAGACATTCTACACTATGAAGTGGCAAGTCTGAAAATGCCGTAGATTTCGAGA